AGAGAGAGAGAGAGAGAGAGAGAGAGAGAGAGAGAGAGAGAGAGAGAGAGAAAGAGAGAGAGAGAGAGAAAGAAGATTAGACAGAAAGAAAGTATAGCAATAAACATTGTGAAAGATGAAAACATATAAAGAAAAAGATAAGACCGAAAGAAACAGTTTTTCAAACTTTCTACCAGCATCTGTGAAATGGTGAAATGATATAGATTTTTAAAGCCCCTATCAACACTATTAGGTTATTTAAGACCAGCATCTCGCGATCTCAGTCCTTTCTTGTCGTATCTCCATTTTTTAACAGTGAAAATGTGACTTCTTTTTAAGCTGACTTTTTGTCATGAACTGTTTTTACCGTTTTTAACCCTATCCGTACGTCGTGTTTTACGTGTATCGTATCCTTACGACGTGGGGAACTCTGTGCCAACACTTTCCAAACACGAAATTTACTCGTTAATCTGATCCGTACGCTTTGCATAACAGTCTGTCAAAATGATTTTTTGAGAAATACTGAACGTTTCAGAGAGATCTTCGTACTGGAAGTATTCTAAAACGTGAAGAATACACCCCGGGGGTACAAAATGACCCCAGGGCGTACGGATAGGGTTAAAAATGGAAGATACGACTTGAAAGCACTGAGGTCGCAATCTACAGTACTCACTGGCAGAAGGCTCTCAGCGTCTCTACGTCCACGCCACAGCACAGTTTCTCAGGACTACTCCGCATGTTCTCGAAGTGGAAGCTGTAGGAGGTGAAGCAGGAGTGGGCGCTGGTCGAGACATCTCCTGGGCAGGCACCGTGAACCGCGGTCAGCACTGAGGGGGAGAGAAGATAAGATAAAATAAGATAAGATACGATAAAGTGAGATAAGAGAAGTAAAGGTGAGATGAGATGAGATGAGATGAAATGAGATGAGATCCTCGGAAGCTGATAATGTTTCTGAGTGCTCTCAGAGGGTCTGTTGGGGTAATAATAGTTGTAAAGCGCATAGAGCATGCTCTTGAGCATGGCTATGCACTATAAAAATGCAATTATTATTATTATTAAGATAAAATAAGGAGAGATAAGATACGATCAGATATGGCGAGATAAGATAAGATAAGATATGCTGAGATATGTTAAGATAAGACAGGCACCGTGATCCGCGGCCAACACTGGGGGGGGGGGGGGGAGATAAAAAATAATAATGATAAAAATAAATTACACTTTTATTTGTCCCAGAGGGGCACCTTGATTTACAATGGCAAACATACATATATATGTACATACTACGTACATACATAAATACATGCGTAAATGCATACATAAATACATACATAAATACACAATATTACACAAATACAGAACAGTTTACAACCATGCCACTGTCGGTCGCCACTGTGCAGCGCCCAGTAATTTTGAGCAAGGGTTGTCGTGTCTTGCTTAAGGACACACCCCAGTGACCACCCATCTGATCCCCATGTCACCGACACTTGCTCGACATTACTTGATTCTAAACACACTACTCACTTAGCCACTGGAGATAAGATGAGATAAGATAAGATACGATAAGATGAGATAAGATGAGATAAGATGAGATAAGATGAGATAAGATGAGATAAGATGAGATAAGA